ACAGACAGACTCACAGACAGACTCACAGACAGACTCACAGACAGACAGACAGACAGACAGACCCACAGACCCACAGACAGACTCACAGACAGACTCACAGACAAACAGACCCACAGACAGACAGACCCACAGACAGAGAGCTCACTGTCATCTGTGTGTTTTCCCTCTGTTGCAGGAGCTGGACACTCCATTCAGACTGTACGGTCTGACCATGAACCCTCTGCTCTACAACATCACCCAGGTGGTCATCCTGTCCGCAGTGTCGGGGGTCATCTCTGACCTGTTAGGATTTAACCTGAAGGTCAGTGTGGGTTTGACACAAATCTTCTCTGATGACATTGTAGGATAATAACTTTAAATGTCATGAGGAAAAAAAAAAAGTTCAAATATGAGACAGAAAAATCTGAAACCCTTTAACTGTGCAAAACTTTTTGCATCCACAGCTGTGGAAGATCAAATCGTGACAGCGACATCGTCGCTTGACTGAATTACTGCACGTCAGTCTCCCTGGACACCCCCCACCCCCCGTCCGCCCTCTCACCCTCCACACCCCCCCACCTTTGACGTTCTCACTCGGTGCAATTCAACAACTTATTTATTTATTTACTTACCCTCTCAGTGTTTTTATTTCTGATTTTTTGAACACAAAACAAGGCTCTGATTTCAAGCTGTCTACACAAAAGTATTACAAGTCGTGATTGTTTAGGTTTTTAACGACGCTGCAGGAATTTCTCGTGCAAGACGTGGTTTTTTTCTTTGTTTGTTTTTAGTGTTTTATTTGTTCAAACTGAAAATTATTTATATTGCATTAGGTTAAAAAAAACAAAAATAAAAACAACACTGAGGTGATAACTGCAGCAAACGCTTTAAACCAGCGTCATTTATTTTAATTTAACTCGCTGGGTTTGGGACGGCAACTGAGTTGAAAAGAGAGAATGTAAAACTTTCTTTTTTTTAAAGTTCTCATTAAACCTCTGCAGCATTAATGTTTATTTAGCACCAAAACACAAAACTGTAAAAAAATAAAATAAAAAAAAGATTGTGTAGTTTCGCAAATTAGAAAAATCCTTCAAAAAAACCCAACCTAAAAAGTCCTATTTTGTAGAGAAGATATTTCCTGGTGTTTAGCATCAGAACTACAGCTAAACTAGTCAAAATTGACTTAATTAATTAAAAGAATCAAAATCATTCACTGAATTATCTTTTTTTTAAACCAAAATAAAAATATTTTCCCTCTATTTTTAGGTCTGAAACTGTTAATTTGCTATTTAAACCCATTCTGTTACCAACATTTTTGGACGAGTCATTTGGTTGTTTTCAAACTTTTTGTAAAATTTCCTGTCTGAGTGAATTTAAAAGTGTGGTTCAACATGTTAACTGACATAAAAATGTTTGTTTAAAATGCCTTTCAAGAACATTTGTTGTTATCAAATCATCACTTATATCGTTTGCCATTATAATCAAACAAGGTTTGTTTCTAAAACCGTTCAGTTTTTTTACCTCCAGGGGTCAGTAGGAAAAAAAACAGATCATTGGTTCAAAAACCACCTCTTCATTGAACACAGCCTGGTTGTTTCAAAGACCGACTGATGCTCTTTGGTATTGGCTTTTACACATGCTCAAAATATTATTACCGGTGCTCTGCAACAACAATCCAAACCCACAGACAGACAGACCCACGGACAGACCTATGGACAGACAGACCCACAGACAGACCCACAGACAGACTCACAGACAGACAGACTCACAGACAGACCCACAGACAGACACACAGACATAGACAAGACATAGACACAGACAAGAGCTGTTTTTTTTCAAGTCAACATTGTTGTATTTTTTAATAGGGGTGTCCCATATTAACTTTTTGGGGATATCCAACATACCTATATTGGCCAGACATTTAATTTCCAATTCTGATATCAGCCGTTACTGTACAGGCCTGGTAATATTTATTTATTTACAAACCCCTGTATGCGTATAAGATTAATTAAAAGAGCTGCAATGCTGCCATCTAGTGACTTTCACTTACAGCCATTCATCACCATAACTATTTCTTGGGCAAAACATTTCATTCGGCAAAACCCAGGCATTGCGTTATTTGTCTACAGTTTGACTTTGTTTTGACCAGGCTGTGTTCACAATGGTAAGCACATATATGTATGTATCAGGAAAGTCTGGATTTTTTTTTCTTAACTTTTAGCTTCTGTTCCAAGTGCAATTTTTTTCTGCAGTTTTGGTTCAACTTCAACATCCAATCTGTTTGAATCTGATTTTAATTTGTTGCAGTCAGTATTTTGTAGCCCATTCGTTTATTTCCAGGTCAGAGCAGCTCAGCTCAAAGTTTATTATGATAAAAATTGCACTTTAAAAAAGGAAAAGTGATTTAAAATGAAAGGAAAATCAAAGTAAGAGGGTTTTTTTTGTACTTGCCTGACATGTGGTACATGAAGTCATCATGGCCTTGATGAAGATGCTGACACTTTCAGGAGGAGACCAAAGTGCTTATTGTCTGTTCGTTTGTCTCTGCTGGAAACAAAAAGAATGTATTTACTACATTATTTTTTGCTTTAAACTCTGTGTTTCCCTATTTAGGAAACACTTGGTTGCATTATTATAATTATAGATGTTTTAGTTCTCGGACAGTTTTCCATTTCCTCACACTTTAAAAGAAGAAGCTATGTGTTTTTCAATGTGTTTTTATTTTTAGATAAAAATATTTGAGTTTAAGGATTCTGTTCTCATTCTGATTCCTAGAGTCAGAACATTTTGATTTCTGTGAACTGTCCACAAAGAACATTTTTTATACATAAAAATTAAATTGAATGTTGACTCAAGAAACTAGTGTGATCATTTTTTAACAAACTTTAAAACGTTAAAAATACATAAACTTTACATCAAAGTATTGTAGTAAAACATTAAAGGTTTTTCAAGGCTGTTTTTGACAGAAATTACACACATATTTTAGGAAATTTTGATGCATTTTAAGGTGTTTTTTTAATCAAAATTTAACATCCTGTGTCATTTTTTTCAGACAAATGCTAAGGTGACAAATATCCTTGAAAATTATTTATTTGGAAAATAATGTTTCAAAATTGTATCTTTTCCTACATATTTCTCATCAAAGCAAACAAGAAGGGGCTCAGGGCCGATCCTTGATGTAGTCCCACCTCCACCTTGAAGTCTAAACACTTCCATACTTCCACTGGTATGTCATCAGGACCAACTGACTTTCCTCTCTTCATCCTCTTCAGGGCTCTTCTAACTTCATCCTTCTAATCTGATCTACCTTCTTCCTAATAGTTTCTGGTTCCTCATTCCTACGTTCCCTTTCATTTTCCTCATTCAACAACTCCTCAAAGTATTCCTTCCATCTTCTCAGCACACTTTCCTCACTTGTGATTACGTTCCCCTCTCTGTCCTTTATCAACCTCACCTGCTGCACATCCTTCCCAGCTTGATATCTCTGTCTCGCCAATCTATAGAACTCATTTTCTCCATCTTTTGTTTCCAAACTCTCGTACAACTCCTCATATGCCTTTTGTTTGGCCTTGGCCACTTCCCTCTTCACCTCCCTTGTCCTCTCTTTGTACTCCAGTCTGTTCTCTTCTGTTCTGTCACTGTCCAATCTCATCTTTGCTAATCTCTTTCTCTGCACACTCTCCTGGATCTCATCATTCCACCACCAGGTCTCTTTGTCCTCCTTTCTCTGCCCAGAGGACATACCTAGCACTTTCCTACCTGTCTCCCTAATCACTGCAGCTGAAGTCTCCCTAACATCTGGGAATCCCTTAACACAGCCCAGAACTGCCCTTCCTTCCTTCCTGAAGTCTTCACAACATGTCTCTTTCCTTTATTTCCACCACTTGATTTTTTGCTCTGTCTTCACTCTCTTCCTTTTTTTCACCTCCATTGTCATCTTGCACACTACCATCCGATGATGGCTACACTCTCGCCTGCCACCACCGTACAGTCATTAATCTCCCTCAGATTACCTCTTCTACATAGAATATAATCTATCTGTATGGACCTGCCTCCACTCTTACCGTACATCACCCTGTGTTCCTCTTTCTTTTGGAAATATGTGTTTACCACAGCCATTTCCATTCTCTTTGCAAAATCTACCACTGCCTGTCCAGTTTCTCTCCCTAATGCCAAACCTGCCCATCACTTCCTCATCTCCTCTGTTCCCTTCCCCTACATGACCATTAAAGTCTGCTCCAATCACCACTCTCTCTCCCCTGGGGAATCTCTCTATCATCCAATCCAGCTCCTTCCAGAACTTCTCCTTTTCTTCGCAGCCCACCTGTGGGGCGTAACCGCTAACAACATTAATCATCTCTCCTATTTCTACTATCTATTTCTAGATTTTTGTCAAAATCTAACTTTTTGTAATTATTTTTGGTCAAATGCTAATAAATTGGCGCAAAGTTTTGTAAAATTATTTCTCAAAATTCCATCTTTTCCTGCATGTTTTTCATCAAATTAGGGCATTTAGAGAACATTTTTGGATTTTTTTTTATACTCTTTTGTCATAATATAAATGTTTCGTGTCATTTTTGGTCAAAAACGAAAATATTTTAATGAAAATCATAAAATGATTTTTCAAAATATCTTTTCCTGAATGTTTCTCATAAAATTAGGGCATTGAGAATTTAGGAAAAATTTGATGAAAATGTTTGTAAAATTATTTTTCAAGATTGTATCTTTGCCTGCATGTTTCACCTCAAAACAGTGCATTTAGAGAACATTTTTTCAAATCTTTTGTCAAAATCTGAAGTTTTAGTGTCGTTTTTGGTCAAATTTAGGAAAAAAATTACAAAAATCTTGTAAAACTCTTTTTTAAATTTTTGTCTTTTGGTCTATGTTTCTCACCACATTAGGGCATTTAGAGAACCTTTTTTGAATTCTTTGTATTAAATCTTTTGTAAAAATCTGAAATTTTAGTGTCATTTGTGGTCAAATTTGTTAAAAACCTTTAAAATATTTATATTATATGATAAAAATAAATATTTTGTCTAAAAATGTCCTAAAACATGCTCCAAAAATATTTTTATCATATAATATAAATATTTTAAACATTTTTAACAAATTTGACCACAAATGACACTAAAATTTCAGATTTTGACAAAAGATTCAATACAAAGAATTTAAAAAATGTTCTCTAAATGCCCTAATTTGGTGAGAAAAGTAGACCAAAAGACAAAAATTTGAAAAGATAATTTTACAAACATTTTCATCAAATTTTTCGTAAATTTGACCAAAAATGGTCAAAACTTTAGATTTTGACAAAAGATTTAATACAAAAAACTTCAAAAAATGTTCTCTAAATGCCCTAGTTTGAGGTGAAACATGCAGGCAAAGATACAATCCTGAAAAATAATTTTACAAATGGTTTCATCAAATCTTTACTAAATTCGACCAAAAATGACACTAAAACTTCAGATTTTGACAAAAGATCTAATACAATAAAATGTGAAAAAATTTTCTCTAAATGCCCTGTTTTGAGGTGAAACATGCAGGCAAAGGTACAATCTTGAAAAATAATTTTACAAACATTTTCATCAAATATTTCCTAAATTTGACCAAAAATGACACTAAAACTTTGGATTTTGAAAAAAAA